ATCAGGTGTAATATCCTGACTCTCAGTGGGTGGCTCCTCTTGTTGAGGTTGTTCATCCCTGGGCTGCTGGTCCTGTGGGGGGGGGGGTGCATGTGTGTGTGTGTGAGAAAATGAAAAGTTTTGTTGTTAATACATGACAATCATAAAAATATACACAATACACACACATATATACATAATCGTGAATAAGAATAAAGGCACTTTATAGACATGATACATATATATTCTTAATATTGTTCCTCTTCCCTCTGCCTGGTTCCTTGGAGAGGAGCTGCCCACAAGGACTTCTGAAGCTCTTTTAAACTCTCCTGGGATGGATGTGGGCAGTCCGTGTTAATAAGCACGAGAAAGGAGTCATAGGGGATATTTCCACCGGCAATACCAGAGTGGAAACCTCCCGGATCAAGGTTTCCTTCCTAAGGACTCCTCCTGGGCCCATGTTATACCTTATCAGCACGGAAACTTTTAACACTGTGCCTACAGGCATTCAACAAAACTCACAGAAAAATACATTTCAGGTCATAGACAGTTCAAATATCAAAGCACTCACAACCACGGCCCCAACTGGCTGGTCAGACTCTTCATCCTCTAGTATTGAACTCCAGGCGAGCCTTGGTATTATATGCCGACTCATATTTCACACTGAAAGCAGAACATTTTGATTAGGAAAATGTACTTAAGGAAATAACTATATCACTTCCATGGCAAAATGATGATTTTCTTTTTAACTTTAAAAATGAGTGCACAGGCTTTGCGGTTATACCAAACACCGGGGCTCGCCCAGCCACTATGTCATGGCCGGGCTGGCAGCGTTACCACCTCGGGCAGGTGAGAAAGACGACACCCGGCTTCCCGTGTACGGAGACATGTGGGGAAATGCTGCCTGAAAGCCCGCTGGAGTGACGACTGCTTCTGCCACACGCCAGCGAGGAGGCCGCTTTCCCCGTGAGTTCGGCTGCATCGGCCGGGAAGGCTCGGGCTGGGCGTGCGGCCTGTGCTGCCTTCGCATGACCAGGAGGCAGCGGTGACCACATGCGATACCGGGGCTGTGCCCGCTTCTCCCGCGGCCCCTGCTTGGTGCCTACACATCTCGGGGCGCAGTGCCAGGGCCTCATACGGCGGCCCCTCAGCACCCCGTTCCCAGGCCCTTCCTTGACCGCCCGCCCCCCCCAACCCCCAACCCCCACCCGGCATGACCAGGAGGCAGCGGTGACTGCATGCGATACCGGGGCTGTGCCCGCTTCTCCCGCGGCCCCTGCTTGGTGCCTACACATCTCGGGGCGCAGTGCCAGGGCCCCGCAGGCCGCCCACTCAGCACCCCGTTCCCAGGCCCTTCCTTGACCGCCCGTCCCCCCCCCCCGCCCCGCCCAGGGCCCCGAGGAGGGCTGTGGGTTCTGTTCTGTGGGCCGTTCCAGGTGAATTCCAGGACCCAGACACCTGGAATAATGTCCCCCAAACCCTTGCCCTGGCCCCCGCCCTCGCAGGGCCAGCACCCTCCTAGTCCGGGTCACGCCGGGGCTTCGAGGCCCACGGCGGCCAAGATGGCGGAGAGGACAAAGGCGCTGACCTCGAGGCCCTTCCTCCTAGGAGGTCACAGAACCCGCAGCCCCTGTTTGGTGCCTACACATCTCGGGGCGCAGCCCAGGGCCTCGCAGGACAGTCCCTCAGCACCCCGTTCCCAGGCCCTTTCTTGACCGCCCGCCCCCCCCAGCCCCGCCCAGGCCCCGAGGAGGGCTGTGGGTTCTGTTCTGTGGGCCGTTCCAGGTGAATTCCAGGACCCGGACACCTGGAATAATGTCCCCCAAACCCTTTACCTGGCCCCCGCCCTCGCAGGCCCGGCACCCTCCTAGTCCGGGTCACGCCGGGGCTTCGAGGCCCACGGCGGCCATGATGGCGGAGAGGACAAAGGCGCCGACCTCGAGGCCCTTCCTCCTGGGAGGCCCCGGATACCGCAGACCCGCCCCCACCGAAGCCCGAGGGCCTTCCCCGCACACTCTCCCACAGTTAAAGTCCCGGAGGGCTGCTCTGTGCACCTACCAGGTGATGTCAACCAGCGAGAAGGAATCAAAATGGCAGGAACACGGCTGCCTGCCGCCCAGATCTCCTCAGCGCACTGGGACAGCACAGCGCATGCGCAGCAACCGACTGTGGTAAAAGGCACATGCGCAGCAGTGGCCGTGCCTAGCAACGAACAGTCTGAACTGTGCAGCTATGGGCATGCTCCGAAATGCGCATGCATGAGCATAGCGGCTGATGGGCTCCTGAGACAGGAATTGAGGTTGTACCGCTAAGGCCACACAGCGTTGAAATCTCTAGGTCAGCCCTGGCCAAGAAAACGGGCTCGAAGTGTGACTTTTCCCTACCCCCAATCATTCTTTTGCTTTTAGAAACTTTGTGGACAGGCTAAGTGTAACCTTAATGGAGAATGTGTCTCAAAAACGTGGCCGTGACAGAAGCATACTTTAATACCATGTTTGCACGTATACTTGGACCAATCACTTCCTTCTGTGACTCTGGTTTTGTGTCATGCATACAAGGAATTTGCTCACTTCCATAAATTAAATACATTCACCCCTGTTTTCTTAAGTTCTTTGCTTGTGTTACTGCGGATACATTTCCAGACTGTAAACGTTTCTCTGAATATACCTGTGGTCATTCGGTCAGTGTATGGTTTAGCAATACCCTTAGATAACCGTGCTAGGATTTAGGCTCAGTCCTCTGTCACTTGCTGCGCAGCAGTACTGCATCCTGTACTCTACTTTCCCATCATCAGACCAACAACTTGCTAGGCAAAGATCATGTTACAGCCTATCACTACAGTCATCATGTACAACATCCGTTTTCCTGAATACAACACTTTTAGAAGTTTCTACATTGAGAAACAAGGATTACTAACTTAGAACTTGAATCCCCAAATCTGCTTTGAATGGGATTCAATGACAAATGTTGTGTTCACTCTGTTCCACCTTAATTGTGAGGATTAAATTAGGTGATACATGTATGGAACCCAGCTCAGAGAAGTGGTGATGGGTAGTATACACTCTATAAATGTGACTTATTATTCCTGTTATGAAAGATCTCAATATATGAAGTTATTGTTGTAAATATATAGCTGAGGATGTGGTGAGGTCATTCATTACCATGTAGGAGATTGAAATGATCCAGGCAAGGTAATAGAGCCATGACTTTTACCTGACTGGGTGTACAAAAATAAACAAGGCATGCGGCCCACCAGTGGTGAGTTTGACGTGCTTGGCAAGACCGCTATCAGCATACAACCAGGAGTAGGAAGCTTTCAAGTGATAGCATCATTAGAGCTATCTTACAGGGAAGATGAGCATCTCACAAAGTCTGAAGTAATGGGCACCTGAAGCATCTCCTCTGTCCCTGACCTGTAAGTAGGCTCAGATACTAAAAAATGAGATGCCACCCAGATAGAGCTGATCATGGGAAAGCCTATTGCTACTCTGTTCCCTGCCTTGAGGAGACTTGCTTTCCAGAGAACAGAAGAGTTTTTACATACCAGTTCATTTAAAGAAGCTAGTGTACCTTTGTACCAAAGTCCAAGAAAGAGAGTACATGAAATAAAATGGCCTAATGTTGTTCATGAGGTCCTTCGTAAACATCCTAAACCAAGTATTCGGACATAGTTTATTCAGAAGAAAAATATATCATCACTAACCCCTCACCCTCCAAGCAATACAAGATTTTTTAAATCTTATGCTTCCCAAACTGGTTTGGCTCAGTGGATAGAGCGTTGGCCTGCAGACTGAAAGTTCCCAGGTTTAATTCCGGTCAAGGGCATGTACCTTGGTTGCGGGCACATCGCCAGTAGGAGCTGTGCGGGAGGCAGCTGATCGATGTTTCTAACTCTCTATCCCTCTCCCTTCCTCTCTGTATAAAAACAATAAATTATAAAAAAATAAAACTTATAATGTTATCTACATAACTCACCATATTAACAGATTAATGGAAGGAAAAATCCTATGACCAGTTCAACAAATACACAAGTGTCTGATGGAGGTTAACATACACTCAAGATTAAAATTCTTACCAGATTAGGATTGGAATGGAACTTCCTTTACTTCACAGTGAACATGGTGAAATGTTAAAATTTTTCCATTTCCTATAACGAATAAAACAGCTCTGACAAACTAATCCCGATTCTATTAGCATTGTACTGGGTGGGTCAGTTGTAAAATGAGAAAAGGAAACAAAGCCATATTTTTAAAAATCCTCACTGGAGGATATTCCTTCTATTGTTTTTTAGACAGTATAGAGGGTGGGAAACAGGGGTAGAGAAAGAGACATCTATTGAGAGAGACACAGTGATTGATTGTCTGCCTCATGCGACCCGACTGGGACAGGGGATAGAATCTACAATCTGGTAAGTACCCTGGATGGGTAATTGATTCCAAGACCCATAAATCCACATACCAACACTCTTTCCACTGAGCTAAACCAGCCAAGATAGAATACATGTTTTTAAAATCCTCACCCAAGGATATTTTTCAGTTCATTTTTAGATAGAGTGGAAGAGAGAGGGAAAGACAGAGAGAAATATCAATGTGAGAGAAACACATCGATTGGTTGCCTCCTGCACAAGCCCTGACCAGGGCCCGGCTGGGGAGAAGCCTGCAACCAAGGTGGGTGCCCTTGACCGAAATCAAACCCGGGACCCTTCGGTCCGCAGGCCGATGCACTATCCACTGGCTAGGGCCAAAGTAGCATAATTTTTAATACAGCAAAGAAAAAATCTGTCAGCATTAAAAAATGATTGGATTGTGCATAATGAAACTTAGAAGCTATCTAGAAATATCCTTTTAGAAATAATAAGCATACATAGCAAGGTTGCTGGAAAGAATACCAATGTACAAATGTGTCTGCATATGAAAGCTCAATTGGAGTATAAAACGTCAGAAAATGATATAATTTTCAATAGTATCAACTACTTGGGAATATGCTTCACAAGAGATTTGCAAGATTCCTTGGATAATGTTGTAAAACTTTATTGAGAGAACTTTAACAGTGAAGTATCCAACATAAGAATAATCTGTGTGTCTTCAGATCATCTTCCTTTAAATGGCTGGTTTTCCTTCCCCTGTAAGAGAAACATAACTGTTGGGAACATTCCTTAGTCTCATTAGATTTAGATGACATTAAAGGTACACAAAGGGCAAAGTTTAGGTTTTATAAGATAGACTTCCAAGCATCTATTTTACCAATATTGATTAAACACACCACTCTTTCTAATGGTACTCAGAAACTAAAAGACTGTTCCAGCTCAGAGCACAAGATATGAAATGAACCTATTAAAAGGTGGTTTTAAATAGTAAGCCAAAAATGTGTAAACTTTTTTGAAAAATATGAACACCATCCAACAGAAAACCCTTAAGAAACAAAAGAAATTTACAAGAAATGCTTCCATTTGAAATACTATTCTGACTATAAGATAGCTAAAACAGAATTGTCACATTTGTTCCTGCCTATGTGAAGTAAATAGAAAGGCCCATAGTGCCTTTGTTTCTTCCTTACAGTGCAGAAAAGCAATAATGGTTCTTGGGTTCCTTTAGCCCTTGTGTGATTGTTTAAATATGGTAACCATGTGTCCCCAATTCCATGTGTATTCCTAGTGTAATTTTAAGTAATGCCTTTCTCACATTGTATGAGTTTCAATGTGTATAATCGCTTCTATAATCACACTAATTTTAAGTCAGTATCATCATTTTTTACATCAAAATGTGAAGCTCATTTATAGAATGACCTACAGCAAGGCAGAAATAAGAACAACAAAGAAACACACACACGTAAAGAAGAAGTAATAGGTAATGGAGAGATGGAAAGTTATGGAGAGGGGAACGAAGAATGGGAGAATGAAAGATACCTAGACAAATTTTAAAAAATGTTGTTTCTAAAAGTCATTGCTTTCTAAAAACTTTAGGGGCCCTGGTCAGGGCACGTGCAGGAGGCAACCAATCGAGGTGTTTCTCTCACATCGATGTTTCTCTCTTCCATTCTCTCTGCAAATTATTAAAAAATATCAATTTGAGCAGTAAATATGCCACATTGGATATGATTACAAAAGATTATATCCTAGAGCTCCTATTTTTATAAGGGACATTAACTCATTAAATCTGACAGTGGTGACAGTGAGCATGCTTAGCATAGGTGTCTCTGAGCATCGATGATAGCCTGCACCCTCTCTACCTGATCAGAGAAACTAAAAACTAGACTATTTCTCCACACTCTATAATTCAATCACCTGACGCTTCATTGGGAAAGGGAATAAAAATGCAATTGTTTCTAAGAGCCAGAAGAATTCAAAATTTGACAGAATCTAAGAATAGGTATCCACATCTCCATATAAAAAAAGAAACATCAGTGGAGTATTTACTCATTATTTTAGTAGCTGTGAGATTTCAGTTCAGATGTTAAAATTTGAATAAAGAAGATAATTCATGACAAGTTATAAACCAGAATATCACTGTATTCTTTCAAACACAACTAGAGAATTAAAGAATCAGCATTGAAAATTAATTTTTATATTCGATTGAATTCACTATTTATGTAAGAGTAAATATTGGTTCTGCAATTAAGGACTCTCTATACTACCTAAAGCAATTTACAGATTAAATGCAATCCCTATTAAAATACCGACAGCATATTTCATAGATCTGGGACTAATACTCCAAAAATTTATATGAAACAACCCCCCCCCCCAAAAAAAAAAACTCCGAAGAGCCACTGCAATCCTGAGAAAGAAGAAAGTTGGAGGAATCACAATACCAGACATCAAGAAAGACTACAAAGCCACCGTAATCAAAGCAGCCTGGTACTGGCACAAGAACAGGTGGATAGCTCAATGGAACAGAACAGAATCTCCAGAAATGAACCCAAGTCATTACACCCATTAATATTGGACAAAGAAGGCAAGAACCTACAATGGAGTCAACACAGTCTCTTCAATAAATGCTGCTGGGAAAATTGGGCCGATATATGAAAAAAATGAGACTAGACCACCAACTTATACCACACACAAAAATAAACTCAAAATGGATAAAAGACTTAAATGTAAGTTGTGAAACCATAAAAATCCTAGAAGAAACCGTAGGCATCAAAATCTCAGACATCTCTTGCAGCAATATGTTTACAATATTTTTACATCTCCTAGGGCAGTGGTCGGCAAACTGCGGCTTGCAAGCCACATGCGGCTCTTTGGCCCCTTGAGTGTGGCTCTTCCACAAAATATCACGTGCGGGCGCACACATACAGTGCGATGGAAACTTCGTGGCCCATTCGCAGAAGTTGGTATTTTGTGGAAGAGCCACACTCAAGGGGCCAAAGAGCCGCATGTGGCTCATGAGCCGCAGTTTGTCGACCACTGTCCTAAGGCAAAGGAAACTAAGGTGAAAATAAACAAATGGGACTATATCAAAATAAAAAGCTTCTGCACAGCACAAGAAACCATCAACAAAATGAAAAGGGAGACCAATGCATGGGAGGACATATTTGGCAATGATACATCTGATAAAGGATTAATATCCAAAATGTATAAAGACCTTATACAACTGAACAAAAGAAAGACAAACAATCTAATGAAAAAATGGGCAAAGGACCTAAATAGACACTTCTCCAAAGTGGACCTACAGATGCCTAAGAGACATTTGAAAAAATGCTCAAAGTCACTGATCATCAGAGAGATGCAAATTAAAATGACAATGAGTTACCACCTCACATCTGTCAGAATGGCTATCATCAACAAATCAACAAATGATAAGTACTGATGAGGATGTGGAGAAAAGAGAATGACAAGTGGGAATGCAGACTGGTACAGCCATTATGGAAAACAGTATGTTATTTCCTCAGAAAATTAAATATTGGACTGCCATTTGACCCAGTGACCCCACTTCTAGGAATATATCATAAGAAACCCGAAACACCAATCAAAAAGAATATATGCACCCCTATGTTCATAGCAGCACAATTTACAATAGCTAAGATCTAGAAACAGCCCAAGTGCGCATCAGAAGATGAGTGGATAAAAAAGCTGTATTATGGTAAGCGAAATAAGCCAGTCAGAGAAAGACAAGTGTCATATGATCTCACTCATATGTGGAACCTAATGAACAAAATAAACTGATGAACAAAATGGACCCAGAGACATAAAAGCATAGAACAGACTGGGGAATCTCAGAAGGAAGGTGGGGGATGATGGGTGGGCAGGAAGTGATCGACCAAAGAACTTGTATGTATATATGTATAATCCATAGACACAGATAATAGGGTGGTGAAGGCCTGGGGTGGGGGTGGGCTAGAAGGGGTCAATGGGGGAAGAAAGGGTACAAATGTAATAGTTTTCAACTATAAAGATTTAATTTAATAAAAATAAGAACTCTCCCATTTTACAAATTATATTAGAGATGGTACTACAATCTACTTCAGTGTCTCAACATACTTCATACAGCCAATATTGATTACAAGTGTATTACGTATTTCTAACTGCAGAAATCATAAGAGAATTCAAAATTTATTACCTGTTGTTTAAAGTACTTATATTCAAAAGAAAATGTTTTCAAATATTAGAATTCAATTTGGCTTTTGAACCAGTGTGTTTCTATATCTGATTATCTATAAGTCAGGCAATCATTCATTTGGAGTCTGCGCTACTGTTCAAAGTATCATTACCTGTGAAGTCTATTCATGTAACAATATGTTATCTCTGGTTATTAAAGGTGTGATATTATGAAAATCTGAAAACGCGTACATAAATTGCATTCTTAATGAGTAATATACCTGTTTCTGGCATTTCAATGGGCTCTGGATTTGCACAAGCATACCCAATGACTTCAGGATCATCTCCACCCTCAACCCCAGTCAGTGGTTTCGCCAGTTCTTCAAGATCCGCTTCAGGGACAATTCCTTAGAAAGTTATCAATTTCAGCAGTAAACATGACATATAAATTAGGAAATGTTAATATTAATTTATTCTGTTTTTTATATGAAAAAAGCCTGTAATCTGGTGTGATAATATGTGTGATAGAAAGTTGGACTTCACATCCTTGTTTTTCTGTACTATGAAACTTGTTGTAAATGACAATGTAAAAATCAACCACAAGACATGTACATTTCCTATATATGACCATAATGTACTAATATGTGTAGAGAGCACCAGCCATCAATGAAATCTGAAGTGTACATTATGGATAGGATTTTTATTACAATTAAAATATAATTATATAATCTCAAGTAAACAACTTAACATCACATCCAAAGGAAGTAGAAAAAGAACAACAAAGCCCGAAGTCAGAAAGAAGGAAATCAGAAAGACCAGAATGAAAATAAACAAAATAGAATTTAAAAAGTAAATACAAAAGATAAAGGGATTAAAGAACATATATGCATACCCAATGGACATGATCAATAGGTTGGTGAAGGCCAAGGGAAGGAGATCTGGGAGTGGGAAGGTTTGAGGGGGGGAGTTATACTATGTTAGTTTTGGTAATATTATATTTAAAATCTTTTTTTGGAAATATTAATATTTATTGCATGTAATATTATCATATTTAAAATAGTTTCTCTTGAAATATTGTTTGTTGCTTTAACATTATACTTAAAATAGTTTTTCCTGAAATGCTAATGTTTGTTGCATGCAACATTATTATATTTAAAATAGTTTTTCTTGAAATATTACTTTTTATTGCATGTAAATGGCTAATTATTTTGTATCTACCATCTGGTAATACATTTATTTTGTATATTATAAAAAAAAATATAAAATAACTAGCTAGATTTAGGTGTTATATTGTAACTTTCCATAAATGAGTCTCATTCAGTAGAACGTAGCAAAAGTAATATCAAATTATTAGTGATAAACAGCAAAATTTTGGTCTTATAGTGAAAATAAAGGAAGTAGGATGGTAATAAATTGATGGACTTTGTAGTCAGGCTTGTTGTGCAAACCTCTTAATGATGAATAGCTAAAATAATCCATAGCCTGTATTCTGTAAATAATTCACTGCCAGTGTTTGATGAAAATAACATATAGTTAAAAGAAATAATTTGTTTCATAATTATTTGAAGGTATGTCTCATTTTCCTAATATTAAAAGATTAGGAACCACTTTCAAAGGTCACTTAAAAACCACACACATATAATGACCTGTATGCCAGTACTCAGAATAATTCAGTTTTTACCAAATACGCCATAGGAAGACATCACTTAAAGGAGAGAGTGGCCATCTCCCACTGAGCTCCTTTCTGAGGCTCTAACCTGCCCCACTGAACAGCATCTATTCCTGGGCCAGTACTGAGCTACCTTACAGTGCAGACACACTTGAGTATTTAGCATTTTATACAATACCATCCACTATTTCAGACACCAACATAGGTGGTAGGAAGAACACAAACCTTGGAATGAAGTGTGAACTTCTTCTCAGTGAGTCAAGTGCTCAGGCTCAGTTTTCTCACTTATAAAATGGGGCTACCATCCCTGAACAAACAGGCTTGGTTTCAGGTGTTCTATGATGGGCTGACTTGGCCCTCTGCCCATGCTGATAAACACTGCTGACACTTACGATGCAATAACTGAGAAGGCCACTCAAAACGTTCTAAGAAGAACCAATTAAAATAGAAAACTTATGTAAATGTTTGTATTTAAAATTATACAGTTTCGTCTGGTTTAGCAAGGACTGTATTTTCAAGAACACTATACAAATAGTGAAGGAAAAGGGAAAATTCATAGTGAAGGAGTGCACATACATGCAAACTATAAAATCTTCACATTCTCTCCCAATTTCCAGGATATGTTTGCATAGAGCTATGGTATGCACAATACATGATAGAGAGACAGACTCCCAGCTCCCCAGTCTTCTTCCCTTTCCCTTCACCTTGAACCTCAGGAGCTCCTGCATCTGCTTTCTCTTCATCAGGTGTAATATCCTGACTCTCAGTGGGTGGCTCCTCTTGTTGAGGTTGTTCATCCCTGGGCTGCTGGTCCTGTGGGGGGGGGGGGTGCATGTGTGTGTGTGTGAGAAAATGAAAAGTTTTGTTGTTAATACATGACAATCATAAAAATATACATAATACACACACATATATACATAATCGTGAATAAGAATAAAGGCACTTTATAGACATGATACATATATATTCTTAATATTGTTTCTCTTCCCTCTGCCTGGTTCCTTGGAGAGGAGCTGCCCACAAGGACTTCTGAAGCTCTTTTAAACTCTCCTGGGATGGATGTGGGCAGTCCCTGTTAATAAGCACGAGAAAGGAGTCATAGGGGATATTTCCACCGGCAATACCAGAGTGGAAACCTCCTGGATCAAGGTTTCCTTCCTAAGGACTCCTCCTGGGCCCATGTTATACCTTATCAGCACGGAAACTTTTAACACTGTGCCTACAGGCATTCAACAAAACTCACAGAAAAATACATTTCAGGTCATAGACAGTTCAAATATCAAAGCACTCACAACCACGGCCCCAACTGGCTGGTCAGACTCTTCATCCTCTAGTATTGAACTCCAGGCGAGCCTTGGTATTATATGCCGACTCATATTTCACACTGAAAGCAGAACATTTTGATTAGGAAAATGTACTTAAGGAAATAACTATATCACTTCCATGGCAAAATGATGATTTTCTTTTTAACTTTAAAAATGAGTGCACAGGCTTTGCGGTTATACCAAACACCGGGGCTCGCCCAGCCACTATGTCATGGCCGTGGTGGCAGCGTTACCACCTCAGGCAGGTGAGAAAGACGACACCCGGCTTCCCGTGTACGGAGACATGTGGGGAAATGCTGCCTGAAAGCCCGCTGGAGTGACGACTGCTTCTGCCACACGCCAGCGAGGAGGCCGCTTTCCCCGTGAGTTCGGCTGCATCGGCCGGGAAGGCTCGGGCTGTGCGTGCGGCCTGTGCTGCCTTCGCATGACCAGGAGGCAGCGGTGACCACATGCGATACCGGGGCTGTGCCCGCTTCTCCCGCGGCCCCTGCTTGGTGCCTACACATCTCGGGGCGCAGTGCCAGGGCCTCGCAGGGCGGTCCCTCAGCACCCCGTTCCCAGGCCCTTCCTTGACCGCCCCCCCCCCAACCCCCACCCGGCATGACCAGGAGGCAGCGGTGACTGCATGCGATACAGGGAGCTGTGCCCGCTTCTCCCCACGGCCCCTGCTTGGTGCCGGTCCCTCAGCACCCCGTTCCCAGACCCTTCCTTGACTGCTCGCCCCCGGGCCCCGTCCACCCCCCCGCCCCACCCAGGGCCCCGAGGAGGGCTGTGGGTTCTGTTCTGTGGGCCGTTCCAGGTGAATTCCAGGACCCAGACACCTGGAACAATGTCCCCCAAACCCTTGACCTGGCCCCCGCCCTCGCAGGCCCGGCATCCTCCTAGTCCGGGTCACGCCGGGGCTTCGAGGCCCATGGCGGCCAAGATGGCGGAGAGGACAAAGGCGCTGACCTCGAGGCCCTTCATCCTGGGAGGCCCCGGATACCGCAGACCCGCCCCCACCGAAGCCCGAGGGCCTTCCCGCACACTCTCCCACAGTTAAAGTCCCGAGGGCTGCTCTGTGCACCTACCAGGTGATGTCAACCAGCGAGAAAGAATCAAAATGGCAGGAACACGGTCGCCTCTCGCGCAGCTCTCCTCTCAGAAGCCGGACACCAAGGCGCAGGCGCAACAATGGGCTTAGGCTTGCGCAGCAAGGGGCATGGTCTGAAGAGCGCATGCGCAGCTATGGGCTCCTGCGCCAATGGGCATGGTCTGAAATGCGCATGCGCGGGTATGAGCATGCACAGCTAGGGGCATGCGCTCTGACCTGCGGTCCTGAGATGGGGGTTGACGTTTTCCTCGTAAGGCCGCAGAGCGTCCAAACCACCAGATCAGCAGTAGACAGGAAAACGGGCTCCAAGTGTGACTTTTCCCGACACCCAATCATTCTTTTGCTTTCAGAACCTTTGTGGACAGGCTAAGTGTAACCTTAATGGAGAATGTGTCTCAAAAACGTGGCCGTGACAGAAACATACTTTAATACCATGTTTGCACCTATACTTGGACCAATCACTTCCTTCTGTGACTCTGGTTTTGTGTCATGCATACAAGGAATTTGCTCACTTCCATAAATTAAATACATTCACCCCTGTGTTCTTAAGTTCTTTGCTTGTGTTACTGCGCATACATGTCCAGACTGTAAACGTTTCTCTGAATATACCTGTGGTCATTCGGTCAGTGTATGGTTTAGCAATACCCTTAGGTAACCGTGCTAGGATTTAGGCGCAGTCCTCTGTCACATGGTGAGACAAGGCAACAAAAGCACCATTCACAAAAGAAAAGAAATGATATAGTCCCTGTTGAGAGGATGAAAAGACAAGCTCCAGGCTGTGAAAAAGCATTTGCAAAGCACATATCTGACTACGGACCCATATCTAGAATATATAAAGGACTCTCCAAATAGTGAAAATACGACCGTATGTGTTAGAAAATGGGAAAAAGACACAAAGACATTTCACAGAAGAGGACATATGGGTGGCTAACAAACACATGAAAATATATTCAATATCTAGGGAAATGCATATTAACATAGTGCTGCTTTATCGGTATGCAAGTATTATAACAGCCAAATTTTTAAAAATTAATAAAAATAACAAATGCATGGTAGGATTCGGAGAAACTGAATGTCTCATACATTGATGGTAGGTACATGAAAAGGAAGTCACTCTGGAAATTAGTTGGGCAGTTTCTTTAAAACAACAACAACAACAACAACAACAACTAAGCCCTGGCTGGTTTGGCTCAATGAATAGAGCATCCGCCTGCAGACCAAAGGGTTCCAGGTTCGATTCTGGTCAAGGGCACATGCCTGGGTTGCAGGCTCGGTCCAATGTGCAGAAGGCAGCCAATCAGTGATTCCCTCTCATCATTGATGTTTCTATCTCTCCCTCTCCCTTCCTCTCTGAAATCAATAAAAAAATAATTTTTAAAAAAACTAAACCTACTCTGGACATATGACCCAACAATTACACTCCTGAGTCTTTATCGCAGATAAATGAAAACTGATATCCACACAAAAACTTGTATACCACTGTTCATAGCAGCTTTATTTGTAATAGCTAAAATCTGGAAATTGAAATGTTCACCAACATATGTATGGCTAAAGAAACTGTGGTACATCCATATCATGAAATACTACTCAGCAATAAAACAAAATGAACTTTTGATACATACAACAATTTAAATGGACCTCAAGAGCTATGCTGAGTGAAAAAAAATCTAATCCCAAAAGGTCACATACTGCATGATTCCGTTTTTTATTAAAAACTTTTAATGCTGACATTATTGCAGGCTTCCTCCCATTCCCCACCTTTTACCCACCTCCGCCTCCTGCTTCCCCCTCTTTTGCATTCCTTTTTATGTAACAATCTGAAAATAAAACAGTTATAAAGATGGAGAGCAGTTTAGTGGTTGCCCAAGCTTAGGGATGGTACTAGGGAAGGCTGTAGGTGTGACTACAAAGAAGTGGCACAAGGAAGATCTTTGTGGTGATAGTAGAGTTTTGCCTCTTTTTTTTTTAAATACATTTTTATTGATTTCAGAGAGGAAGGGAGAGGGAGAGACAGATAAAAACATCAATGGTGAGAATCATCAATAGGCTGCCTCCTGCACGCCCCTTACTGGGGATCAAGCCTGCAACCCAGGCATGTGCCCTTGACCAGAATTGAACCCGGGACCCTTCAGTCTGCAGGCCGACGCTCTATCCACTGAACCAAACCAGCTAGGACAGAGTTTTGCCTCTTGATTGTAGTGGTGGTTACACAAAGCTACACATATGACAAAATCGCATAGAATCATACACATGCTTTGTGCAGATGCCAATTTCCTGATTTTGATATGGTATGCCAGTTAGGCAAGATATAATTACCTTGGGGGATATATGAACAGTAAATATCTTGAGGGAGATGGGGTGAAGGGTACATAAGACCTATCTGCACTATCTTTGCAACTTCCCCGTGCACCTATAATGATTTTTTAAATTAAAAAAAGCAGAACACACACACACACACACACACACACACACACACACACACACACATACACACACACACACACCATCAGACCTAGTGCTTCTTCTGGGATTCAATCAACAAAATGTAATGAAAAGTATTTTCTAAAAAACGAGCCAGAAATACTACACATATGCTTTATAATTCATCGGCGACAAGATAAGGGTAGAAAAGCCGAAACCCAAAGAGGAAAAATGACGTCTTGCACCAAGGGAAGAGTATTGTGGAGAGTATGGAACCATTACTATCTAGTTGCTCTTGCCATAGAGGAACTGCTCCTAGCATGCCCCAATGTGGTCTTAAAATTCCTAAAGGAAAGATTGCTATGTTTCTGGAGCTGGATTGACTTGCCAGCTGATAAGAGTCTTTGGCATGGGCTGGATGCTGTTATTCATTCTCTGTTCCCAAAAGTTTCCCCCCTGAGGGGTTGGCAATGTTGGCACTCAAGACCCCATCTCTTTTGATCTTCCTTTGCCTGAGGGTTAAAGTCTTAGATTTAATCTGCCTATTCGTGTAGGAACCTCTGAAACATCCTTTTGCGTTTTTCTCTGTTTTTGTCTCTTCTCATCCCTTTTTTGTCAGAGAGGGGGGGATTGCGTGTTCTCAGAGTTGAGCTTTAAGTTGTTGAGTTCCTGTATTAGCTTATCACAACAGGAAGAATGAGAGGTTGTTGCTTTGCTCCCAGTGGAGATGCCAGAGGTGGTGCCCACATACCTCAGGCAGTAGTAGCATTCACATTTGAATCTGTTCTGATCTGTATCACGTGAAGAAGAGGTTTTTGCTTTTCTGTCAGTCTGATAAGGTGCCACGGACTTGACATGTCTCCATCTGGGGCGTTCCACTAACTTCTTTCCCTTTTTCTTCTGAGGTACCCTTGAACTTTTCCATTGCTGCTCTTCTTCCATCCTCTAAAAAAGTACATATATCAGAAACTCAAAGAGTATATTTAAAACATGCCTTTTCATATATCACTCAGAGAACACCTACTAACAAACACATAGACACACATTTCAGAAAGAGTCCCTGATAAATTAAGCAACTGAAATCTTTATTTCAAATTTATTTGTTGGGACATTTCTTTTTTAATTTTTTTAAAATTGATTTCAGAGAGGAAGGGAAAGGGAGAGAGAGACTGAAACATCAATGACGAGAGAGAATCATTGATCGACTGGATCAAACCGGCAACCTGAGCATGTGCCCTTGACCGGAATTGAACTCAGGACCCTTCAGTCCACAGGCCGACGCTCTATCCACTGAGCCAAACTGGCTAGGGCATTATTTGGTCATTTCTTTTGATGCCTACAGCATAAGAAAACAATCTAGTCTAGAATTTTGGAATAATGGCTTTAAGCCAATTTCCTCCCTACTGGATTACACATGGCACAAGAAACTGCAGGATCACATTTCTTCAAGTGGAGAGTAGAGATCACAGTTTCTCTTTCTCTCCCTTCACCCCCAGTTGAAATGATCATTTGGTTCTTCTCCTTTATTCTGTTAGTTTAGTGAATTGCACTGATTATTTTTGTGTGTAATAAGAATACTTAATATAAGACCTACCCTCTTAGCAAATTTTAAAAGTATACAGTATTGTTATGTATAAACATAGTTTTAAATGTACAAATACTGATATATGTTAAAGCACCACCTCAAAAAAAAACCTGTTCTCTTTTTTAAAATATTTTTTATTGATTTTTAGAGAGGGGGGAAGGAAGAGGGAGAAAGAGAGAAACATTGATGTGAGAGTGGAACATCGATTGGCTGCCTCCTACACGTCCCTACTGGGGATTGAGCTTGCAACCAGGGTATGTGCCCTGACAAGTGAATAGAACCTGTAACCTCTTGGTGGCGTGGCATGATGCTCAACCAACTGAGCAACACCAGCCAGGGCAAGCCTGCTGTTGAACTTTAAAAAAAGAAACCTCATTCTGTCCATCAACTTTGCGTAATGTAATATGAGGCAGCCCTCTCCCAACAGAGACCTTGAGATTCTCAGGGCCTATAAAGAAATGTATCCCTGATCCTAGGAGGTAAGATGTTAAGCACAATGACATATTTACACTGCCACTTGTTTGAAGAAGAAGAACAGAAACAATGAAAGTGAGTGTTCTTAACTCCACATGACCCCTATTTTCCTCAGCTACAGTCCCTCTCCCCAGATGGGAAAAAACTCCCGAGATTCCTAGAAATAAATATGTGCTTAATTTGCCCACTATCTTGGGTTTCCTGCACCAACTCATGCCCCTCTTTATAAGACAAGTTAAAAACTTTAAAGGAGAGAAAGGAACCTAAAGAGTAAGTTATTGGTCACAGATCCAGTTTTGTATGTGATTTCTCACGTTTTATCCTTCCAACCTTTGACAACATTTCTCTCTAATCCAATCCAAAATATATTTACTGACCTCCCCAGTGCCAGGTGATACAGAGATATGTGACAGACAACAGTCACCATTTATTTATTTAAGGATACTTTTGGATTAGGTATGGTGAGTTAGATGCTTTACATCCATCCCTCATTAATTCTATCCCCAAACCTTCAAAGTAGGTAAGGCTGTCATTTTGCAGATGAGGAAACTGAGGCTTAATAACAGAATGACTTAAGGGTCAGGGCCAGCACTGGAATTCATATGTGTTCTATATTA